ACCTACAGATTAGTTCTAGCATCTTGCAAGAAGCATTCTCACTCTGTAGTTAATTTTTAGAATTGGACTAGTTTAAAACTCTAGTCGAATGAACGATTTTAATTTATATTAAAGAGTTGATAAGAGTTAAAAATCATTTTTCTTATTATCATTAGTTAGATGTTTTCTTTTACTAATATAACTTCTTACTTGTCCTGTAGCAACGACTGACATATCTGGTGAAACTGCTAAACATAGAATATCATCTGTATGATAATTATAAAATTTTTGTGTATTTTGTTCTGTATTTAAAACAATGCCAAGTGCAGCTACATGATAAACAATTTCATTAGTTTTCAACCAGAAAACATTATCTCGACAATCATAACCACGATATCTATTGAAATAAATTTAAATAAAAACACACAAAAAAAATTCTAATTTTTAATCATACCCAAATACATAATCAAGTGTAAGACCTTCATCTGGTTGTTTTTTTCTTTTTTCACCTGGCGCTAATTCTTTTTTTGCTGTTTTTTTTATTTTCTAAAAATAGAAAAATAATTGTTTGTTGATTTAAAAAATCAATTAAATTCATTGAAATTGTACTTGATAATCTTCTCGATATAAAGTACGATCATAATTGATTTGTTTCTCTTTTTCAATATCAGAATCGATTTCTCCACCACTTAAATCGGAATCTGAATCTTCAGAATCTGAATCTAAATAAGCTCCACCATGTTGAGTACTTTCTAATAATTGTGCTTCTTCGATAGTTCCATCTATTTCATCTAAATTAACTGTTTCATCACCTCCAATTCTTGATGATACTGGTAGAACACTCATTCGTCTTGCATCAGCTAGTGCAATTGAATCAGATTCTGATCGAAAATTCCATTGTAATATTGTACGATCATCACTTCCAATTGTTATTAAACGACTTGTATCATGAAGAAAACGAACATCAACTAAAAAGAATAAACTTATAGGAATTTTCTGATAGTTCAATCTTTTCTAATCTATTACCAATTCGACTTGAATGTCCAACATATTTTCTAAAATGAGCACCTTTTTGTTCACTTGGAAAACGAAATAATTTGATAAGACCAATTTCATCACCTGCAGCAATAACACCTAGATGATTATTTCCATCAATAGCAACAATATCAGTTTTTTCAGCAAATTTATTCCATATTCCACGAACTTCTGCATGTCTTAAACTTGTAAATGTAGCCCAATTATGAATTTTACCAGCTTCAGTTTCACTTAGAATTTCAAGAGCTTTATTTTAAAAGAAAAAATAGTCTTCTTTACTTAGATTTTAAATAAACAAATAAATACTTACAAGATGCTTTAACAACAAAAACTTTTCTAGATTCGCCACTGTACTGTACATATTTATCATCGTCAGTCCAGTCGATATGTGTAACACTTGAACTGTCAGCTAAAAGAAAATTCTATTTAATACAATAAATATCAATATGAAATAAATTACAGTTAGGTTTTGAATGTAAATTCTCAAATTTATTTTTGACATCATAGAGATCAAAGTGTCCATCAATACAACCAACAGCAAGATATCGACCATTTGGAGAAAATACTAATGCTTGTATACGATCTGTACGATCACGAAGTATTCCTATCGGTGCAACTCGCACTTCATTATGTGGTTTTAAGCTAAATTTCATAGATAAAAAAGAAAATTTATTAACTTAATAATATAACAAGGAAAACAAACTTTGTTGGATAAATTTCAACAGAACCATCTTCATAACCAACAGCAAATTGACCTCCATCAGATGAAAAAGCTATAGATCGAATAGTAGGTGCCGGTGATATTGGAGCATAAGGCATTGTATAAAATGTAATCAATGACATTTTTTCAGCATTCCAAAATCTATTCATAACATTTCCTGGTGTTTTTATGGCATAAAAAAAGTTTAAAATTATCAAACCTAAGTGAACAATCATCTCCACCAGTAACAAAAATATTTTCTCGTGGATGACAAGCTAATGCAGTTAAACTAGTATCATGGTGACCTTGAATAATAAGTTGAGGAATACCAACTCCATGTAATTCAAATCCATAGATTTCACAATCACGAGTACCAGCAACAACATAACCATTACGTGAAACAACACTACATACAGTAATTTCTAAAAGCAAAATCATATATCAAATCACGGAAAGTTATATGAAAAATTTTTTACAAAAAAATTCTAAAATATCAGCATATCTCTTATGATCGTAATATTGAGAATTATGCTAGGACAACTAAACGACGATCTAATAAACTACGTAAAGAATCTAAGATCACTATCATACAGGTTTTAATTCCACACATGGAAACTGCATCTATCTATGCAATCCATTTAAAAAATATTGATCCGCCTCTTCCTTAATCAACTATTCAAGAAATCATTGCTACCACAAAGCATAATTCATTTATTCTCTTCTGTCACTAATCATCGTTGATAGTGATATGAAATCAATAGTAATAGTTAAAAAATGATTGATACTTATATAGTCACACTAAAAAATAAGATTTCATATAGATAATAAATCTAATCAAACACTTCTTATCATTCGAAATTCAAGTTTTTATTTGTAATCGAATCTGATTCGATTTAAGACAATTTAATAGTTGTGATAAAATATTATGACATAGATAGTCTATTAAAATTGTTCTTCTATATGGCTAATCTGAAGGTAAACGTGTATTATATGATAGTTTGATCTGTCACACATGACAAGACAATGTCATATACATAACATAAATCATTGATATATTATAAAGAAAATCTAATCCATTGAATAAATAAATACAGACAACAAGTAAACAATCGTTAGTTTCTCGTATGTCTTATATTACAATCATGAATAATATATACTAAGATCAAATTATGTACTATAATTGTCTAATTGATCAAATGAAGTTCTACTTATTTAGAATAAAAGCGATATAGAAAATCTAACTATTTATAATAAAATATCTGTTAATTCTTTTTTTCTACCGTGAGTATCATTCATTAAACATGGTATTTGACACATTTGTCCAGTTGGAACATAATCTTTTGTCCATTCTTTAACAAAACCATCTTTACTACTTGTTAAGAAACCATCAGAAGTTATATCAATTGAATAAATTGTTGACTAATCCGGGAAAAAAAACAATCAATAAGATATTTGTATATAATAAATCAACAAACTTACATGATGTGCACCATCAATAATTTTATCAATTGCATTCTTTTTCCATATAATAATATCACCATTAATAGCCCCAGTGAAACATATATTTTCTTCATTTGTTCGTCCAAAATGTCCAATACATAAAAGTGTTGTTGCTTCTGATTTTCCGAATTGTCCTTCTTTACATTGTAATGTATTACCAAGTAATGTCCAAAAACGAATATGTTTAACACCACAAGTAATAACACGATCACCAAAATAACAAATATCAAAAATACGTTCCAAATGACCTGAAACTGTTGCTAAAATTTTTCCACGACGCCATTGCCAAACTTTAACTGTGTTTTCATCATCAATACCAACACTAGCTAATTTCTAATAGAAAAAAAGATTTTTATTTTAATAAATCAAATTAAAAATAATATGTTCACCTCGCCATCGGCATCCGAATTAAAACTCATTGCTCCAACTCCGCCTGTATGTCCTTGTAAAAGACTTTCTAATTTCATATTTTCTTGACTATTCCATATACAAATTCGTGCATCTTTACCAATTTGTCCAGTAGCGACAATTTTTTTCTGAGGGTGAAGACATGAACTGATAATATCATCATCATGACCAAGAAAAAATCGTTGTCGACCATTATCTTTCTCACTTATATTTTGAACAATAGCAACAGCAGCAGAAAAATAAACAAGTTCACCATTTTCAGTTAACAGAAGATTACTTCGACAATTTGCTGATCGATAACCATAAACCTGTTCAAGACGAAGTGAAGATTTAGGTGCTGTACGATCACCTGGAAATTGTTTATCCTGAGTAGTAACGGCGTTTGATGCCATTAGTTATAAGAGAAAAATTCAAAAGAATTAGACAAGAAGTCAATAACTTTAAAAAATCAGATATATGTCACCATCGAATCTCTTATTGCTATGAAACGAATATTGACACAAGCTCAAAAATTAGAGGGCGACACTTATGCATTGATCATCAACAAGCGACATCAAAGATCATTATTCATATTCTTTGTTTTAAAGAAATATTTCTTAATTCAAATTCATATCATAGATTATTAGTTTATTTTACAAAACAATCATCCTGTCAGTCTTTTTATTTGTATATATTAGAATAAAAGTCGTTGAGATAATGTTCAATATCAATTATAATGAATATGAAAATAAATAAAATAAGGGCAAAAAGTTAATTCATATTGAAGATGATTTGTGAATTAAACTTTACATTCAATTAATCGTTTCAGGCATCAATCTATAGTAAATTTCTAATTGAAGTTGCTAGTCTATATCCTAATGTATTTGTCAACATTGATTAGAATGAAAGCATGTCGTTTTTCTAAGAAAAAATAAATATACAGATGAAGTGACAACAATCATTTAGTATGATAGATATCAGACATGATTGTCAATCTGTCTATCTATCTATCTATCCATCTATCTAGATGTGTGAATAGATGTTTGTTATAAAATCTAAATAAAATACTTTGTTAAAGAAAACATATTTTTTTATTTTACTTAACGAAATAAATCGCATGTTTCGCATCATCATTGTCAATAAATCATTCGTTTGCTGTCTGAATATAGCTATTATCAGAGGACGATTGATGATTAATGATCAACGTGATGTGACATTTCATATATAGATATATATTATATGATTGATCAAGATCATCATTTGTGTAAGAGAAAAAGGATTGACAAATGAGAGAGCAATAATGATGATCATGCATGCATTGAGACACAAAACGTGTATCTTTCTGCATGTTTTATGTCATCATCATCATATCTGTCGGTCAGCCAATTGTGATGACAAGTCGATAGAAAAGTTTGCCTTTCCTGTCACAACTGTCGACATTCATCATTTCAATAATGTCAGTTATTATCAAAGCTCATTAATTTTTGTTTTCTTTTTTTTTTGTTTTTGGAAAAGAAAATTTTTTTTTACTGTCATTTAATGATTAATGTTTATTTTTCATTAAATAATCCCGATCGATTTTTGAAAATTAATCAATATTCTTTGAGTACCAATCGTAATTTTTGTTTTTAAAAAAACAAAAAATATATTTCAATCGATTGACAATTGATCGATGGATATATGTCAAAACTAAGATAGAATTTGGCACGCTAAATCGCCATAAGAAAGTATATAGATGGCATCTTTTTATTCATTATTGTCATCACTCATCGTTTCTCTCTCTCTCTCTCTAATTGGCATGTGTCAAGCGGTAGTGTACGTTTATTTGCACGAGGGTTTCAAATATGATCATCATTTATCACACATACAAATCTGTTCTTTGCCTTTTTTTTCTCTTTCTTTCTTTCTCTCGTTTTTTTTCTTCTTCTTCTTCTCTATGCATAACTAAAGAAGAGAAAAAGAAAAGGAAAAGCTTTTCATTTATTGACTTTGGAAAATAAATACGTAGCGATCCACATTATTAGATAATACGATGTCTTCAACAACAACAACGAATACGTATATTAAATTGGATTATATACAACCATCTTCATCACAAACAGTAAGAAAGTTTTTGTTTTTTATTGAAATAAACTTTTCTTTTAAAATAGTATGATTCGAGTCAAAGTCCATTAGCACTTTTAGCTCAAACATGTTCAAGTATTGGTAAAGATTCATCATCCCCAATTGTAAATTCAACTCCATCTATAATAACATCACTCGTCACAAAATCTTCGTCCAATATATCAAATTTCGATAAATCATTATCATCAACAAAACGTTTAGTACCTTCACAGATAAATCAAACAAATAAAAAATCAACTCTTCCATTAAAATCTCCTACTATTTCTTCAACAAATCAATCAAATTATTTTTCATCATTAACTGATCCAACAAGTTCAGTTGCATCATTACTTCTTCGTTCGTCACTTGCTTATCTAGCTTCACAACAACATTCATATTCAACATCATGTACAATGCCAGGATGTTTACAATGTGAAACAACTCGTTATATACTTTCAAATTCAATAGATAATCAACCTTATATTTGTCATTGGTATTCATGTAATGCAAGATTTTCTTCCAATCATGATTTAATCGAACATATTCGATATAATCATAGTTTATCAAAAAAGTCTGATCATTATCGTTTTCATCCATATTTAAGATCATTGAAAATGACAAATAACAATGATCAGTTACCATATTTTTATCCACACTTGTCTTTGTCGCCAATGACAGAAACGACAAAACGTACAAATATTAATCCAAACAACAATAATTAATCATTGCCTCTTTTTTTTTTTATTTAAAAATACGATGATGAGGTCATATCTCTACTATGATTTCTTTTCTTCTTCTTCTTCCTCTTTTTTTTTTCTACATACTTTGAATAATAAATAGAGTGATATTATTCTTAGCTTCTTTTTTTTCTTTGTATTATATCAGTAATCAAAGAAATTAACGCACATCTCATTGTAAAGTTATTCATACGATTAGACATTTGTATAAACATGCTGTCATGATTGACATTAGCAACGATGATAAGTTGTCTGTCATCATATATACAATCAAAGTATTCTTCGTAGTTTTCTTTTTTTTCTTCTTATGTTGATTTTAGAAATATGTATATCTAATGAAGTTTATTTGTTGATATAATTATATCTTTTCATCTTCATATTCTATATCATTAATATGTCAAAGATTTTCTTTACATCAAGGTTATCAGATATGTTTAACTGATGATTAGATCAGAAAATAAAATGACACGAAAATATTTTATGATAATTAAATAACAAAATATATTCGTTGCTTTTTTTTATCATATTGAGTCTATTTTGAAAATAATATGTTAGTACATTAATGAGTGTTATGTACCGAAATCGAAGTAAAATTATTAAGAATAATTTTAAATTGGTATTCTTTACATAATTAATCTTGACCCATTGAACTTATCTATTTTGTACATTCAAAAGTTCGTGTGAAATATTGCAAGATTTTTATTTTGTATTTTATTTTGGTGTTTTCAAGTTTATATTAATAAACTAGATATGATCTTTAACGGCTAACGAGGGAACATATTTAAGTGTTTAAGCCGTTTGGATCCTATGTTTTGGCGATAAATAGACGGTCTATGAGATATGAAATATTTGAAAAGGATTCGAGCTCTTGAGCCTTTGTTCGGAGTTATAAGTGTTTTACAGAGTATTTCATCTACAACAAGTGAGATCAGAAAAATTTGAATGAGGTTTCTTCGATCGGAGAATTTGCCCATAGACAAGTTTTATCGTTAGTAGAATCTCCTACAAATCTCATCCTCAAATTTCAAAAAATCTCATACTTTATCAATCATTGGAAAAAAGCCGATTTATCTTAGAAATTCAATGATCTTAAAATGAAAGCTTCAAATGAAGATAAGACTTGTGGGAGCTTCTACTAACTATAAGAATTAAGAATTGTTTTCAAGTATTTCATATCTCATTGAGATCTACCTATCGCCAAAAGATGTGGTTTCAACGACTTAAACATGTTCCTTTGTAAATAAACAAATATTATTTAATTCATGAATACTCCAGAGTGGTTTCAGTTTTGGAACAGACGTATGCAAATAATGAAAGTTATTTTATTTCATGATTCTCTATTGAGTTGAAGAGATAAATGAAACAATGCTACATTTCTCTTTTTTATGCAAAATGATTTAGATTAAATAAAATTTCATCGATTCATCGTAATATTAACAAACATTTATGTAATAAAAAGAATCTGTTCATATTAATTAAATTTTTAATTTACAAAAAATAGGTACATCCCACTAAATTATTTCAATAGGAATACAAACGGGGAAGAAAAAACTCTATCTGCACTACAAACACTGCAAATGAAATATAATAGAAAATGGAGAACACACAAAAAAATAGATATATGCATAGATATATACATAAATAAATAGAATAGAATAGAATAGAATAGATGTTATGAACTTGTCAAAGGAGTATCATAAGTATTTACTAGTGTTGTATTTGTTGCTCCTGGTGCTAATAATTTTGAAATAAATTCATCTTTTAAACAACCTTCAACAAATTGTGACATTGTTAATTTATCATTTTGAGCATCACCAACATTATCAAATATATTCATCATTGAACGTTTAGCTAAAATCATTGGTTGTTCCATATTTGGATGAAGTGTATCACCTTGTAATGATTGATTAAATCGAACAATTGATTCAATAACTTCTAAACATTCACGACGTGTTAATAAACCATTTCCATCAATATCAAATACATGAAATGTCCATTGAAGTTTATCTCGTATTGAACTTGTTGTTGATGTCATAGATAAACCAACAAGAAATTCATGAAAATCAACTGTATTAGATTTATCAAGATCAAATGCTCGAAATACATGACGAGCAAAACGTTCAGCATCACCTTTCGGACATAAAGATTTGTAATTTGCTATAAATTGTTTTCGAGTCATATAACCATGTGGACAATCAGTTAAGAATTTTTCATGCCTATAAAATAGAAAAGAAAACAGTATAAATAATTATTTAAGATGTCGCTAATCGAATCGAAGCAGATAGTACATGAAAATTAAAAAAAAAGACTTAGTTTTTACCATTGCAAAACTTCTTCTCGTGTAAAATTTGTCATTGTTAATAATATTTGAATTTCCATTTCAGTTAATGTTGTACGTGCCCGACGAAATCGTCGAAATATTGATTGAACACCAGTTCCAATTTTTCCTAAAAGTCCACGTCGTCTTTGGCTACTTGTTGATGATCTGGTTGAGTCGACTGTTAAATTTGATTTGACTGATGCGCTTGATTGAGATCGACTCATTGGATCAAGATTTAAATTTACTGGAGAACGTTGAGCCATTATTTCATCTTTAAAAATATCGAAAAAAAAAGAAAATTTAAGATTTAATATATCTGAGATAATTAAATGAATTTTATTTTATAAAAAGTGACCTTTTTTAATAAAAAAAAATAATCTTTTACAGAAAAATAAAGGAAAAAATTCACCAAGATTAAGAATATATATCTGAGTTAAGAATTATTTCACATAAGTGTAACATTAGCTAATGCACAATATTTTTGTATATGTGATAAATGTTCTGGTGATAAGCCATTGGTCATGATATTCAAAAACTAAGAAAAAAAAAGAAAGAATTTCGATTGATTATAAAATGACAAAGAAGATATGATAACATACTTGATTAGGATGAGAACTTGTTAATGTTTGTAAGCATTTAGCCAAATGACAACGAGCATCAGGAATACTTGAACCAAATAAATCTGTAGAAGATTTTTTAGCAAATGCCAAACGTGAAAATGCTGGAGTATAATCTTAAGAATAAAAAATAATAGATTATTATTTAATTCAAATTAATTAATCAAAATTTTCCTATATCTAGATTAACTTGAGGTATACATAACATAAAATTACGAATATAATGCACATCGTCAGGTATGTTATTCAAATGAGTAAACGTGATCGAGTCTCTCAAAATTCAATAACTAAAATCGTTTACAAATTCTTTATTTCAAACTTTTCATGATTCCGAAACGTACAGTAAAATTAAAACAACATTTCTTTTATCTATTGCATATGTCTATTTAATGTCTTATGTGAAAAGTGTCGATCATTGTCTATTTGACTTATTTCAAACTGATAAGGAGCTACGATCTCATTGAGAGTTAAGATAATACACTTGTGATTATTAATTGACAGTTCGAAAGTGCTCTCGTCTAACTATCTCCAATGCTTGAGTAATATTTCGTCATTATCACACAATCGTGAGTGAAAAGTGAGTTGTTATTTTTTTCTCACATGCAATCAATCAATTTTTCTCGTGGACTTTTCATTTTCATCATTTCTTTTGTTCTATATATATGATAAATTATTTAAGAATAAATAGTTCATTACAGACTTATCCTATTATCACTTCAAAAACTCTTATTAATAGAATTTTTTCTGTATTATCCTATCGTATATACGACTTATTGCAAAAATTGTTAAATACTAACCTGGTGTATCATCTAATCCAACAAGTAAATCTTCTTCTGCTTGATCTTGAGCTTGTTTTTTTCTTTCAGCAGCTGACATTGTTTGTAATTCATTACATGATTCAAACAATCGAAGTAAAGTTTGTAATAAAATTAACCATAAATTATTTAAATAAACTCCATTTGTCATTGCTTCTGGATCACATAATAAATGTGTTATAGCAATTGCACATAATTTTTTATCACAGTCATCAACTTTAGATAATTCTGGCATAAATAAACGTTCAACAACCATTTGAAACATATTTGTTTGAATTGAATCAATTTGTGTAATGAGTTCTTGTGCACCATATTTAATAGTAAAATATGAAAAAAATATAATAATACATCGAATTAATTTTTGTGTTTTAGCTTTTGTTAAACGAGTAAATATAATAATAAATATATCTTTAAAATAATTATTTAAACATCCAGTTGGTAAATGCATAATTAATGAATTTAATATAGCAAAACCTTCATGATCATGAATTTTTGATTGAGATACAAGTCGTTGAAATATTGCAAGAACAATTGTCTATTTAAATTCCGAAAAAATGAAAGAGTTATTTCAAAACTAAAAAAATTTACTAATTTTTCAAGAACAATTGTTTCACCAGCTTTTTCAATATATGCTTGTAAGAGTCTTGATAAAGCTGGAATATTTCCACTACGATCCCAAAATGATGGTGTAAGAATCGATTGAAATAATGCGCGATATGTTTCTGGAATTGATGATGTATGTGATTCTAATAAAAATCCGATTATTTGTAAAACATATGGAACAAATTCTAAATTAGAAGAAATTAAAATTAAGAAAAATAATTTAAATAATTTTTATTTACCAGCAATATCTTCTGTAAATATTGGTGTAAATACAGGAAAAAGTATTTGTTCAAATTGATTAAGTACATTGGAATTTTGTAAAACACTTGTACGAATTAATACAGTTATTGTTTCAAAAAGATAATGATTAAAATTTGGTTTATTTGGATTCTAAAACAAAATAAAATTCTTATTTAATTACAACGAAAGTTATCGTTTGTCTACTAGTTCACTAATATGTATTAATAATACTACGATATATTAATATTTTTACATATAATAATGGAAAAATATGCATATTTCTCTTTATTTTTTCAAAGAAAAATAAAGCTAAAGTAATCGCATTAGTTAGTCAAGTGAAAGAGAAATAAATAGTTTTATTATGAAAACAAGCTTATTTATATATAGTGAGATGACAATAGATTGAAGTTCTTTTTTTTCAAAGAAAATATTACTTCTTCCGAATCTCCGTAATGTGTTCCAGACTATCTTAGAAATAGATATTTTAAAGTTTTTTCATCACTGCCTATAGTGCACGCTATTTAAAAGTCCCAATGATGTTCACAATAGAGAGAGATTCTTCTTTAGTATATTATTAAAAGTTATTTACTTTGCATGATCGTTGTAAAATCATAACTAATTTTTCGATTAATTGATTTAAATATGGTAAAACTCCATCTTGAAGTGCTGATGATAATCTCATAACAGCTCGCATAACATATTCATTTTCATATGATTTATTCGATGTTAAGATTCGAAAGAAACTATCATACATTGTTTGTGCATAAGGAATTAAATCAGTTTTTGTAATTCTAGAAAGACAAACGATATTTATTAAAACGAATGTATGTAATTAATCTTACGCTGTTTGTTTTTGATCAGCTGAATGACGAACAAGTAATAAACGTTCAATAGCATGTGCTGCATATGTTTGTACAACAATATTATTTGATGATAAATATCGAACACATTCAGGTATTGAAAGAAGTAAAGCATCACGATCAATTTGATTTCGAACATGAATTAAAAATTTTAAACAATCAGCTTTAATTAATGGTAAACTATTAACTAAAATAATCAATAATTAAATATGTTTTTTTTGTCTAAGAATAATATACTATCTGGATTTTGAAGCTCAGGTAAAATACTAGCTGAATAAAATGCTGGAATACTAATAAATGAACTTGTTTTAGTAATACCAAACTAAATAAAAAAACGAAATAAGAATCACCCTCAAGACAAAATAAAATATCTTTCATACTTTTTGTGTTTCACCTTTTGATGCAAGTGCTAAGACAAGAAAAATACATGTATCTTTTTTCATCCAATCTTTTGTTGGATTTTGTAAATATTCCTAAAAAGAAAAAAATTTCAATATAGATATTTATTGAGTAACATCTTAGTTGTAGAACACTTATTCTTTATAGTATTGATAAGAAAAGATAATATTAATATAAGTTATATAATCTACCTTTTGCATTGTTTCAATATATTGACTATAAATGGCTATAACTTGTGGTTCAAAAAAGATACAAAGTGCTTGAAGAAAATCACAAGCAGCTCGTCGACGTGTTGCTGAATCTATAAAACAGCAAATATAGAATTTTGTTTTCCTTCTCGAAATAATCAAATATGAAAATTTTACCTGATTTTTCAATATCTTTTCGAATATATTCTTCTGGATTATCTTCAAATTCTTCTACATCCGATTCTAAATAAAATTTCAACAAAAAAAGGTATTTTTTTTCTTGAAAAACAAATTTCAAACCTCGAAGAAATAAATTCGGTAAAATAACTTGTTCACATACAGTTTTCAAAATATCACCACCTTCGAACATACTACAATGATGACTTCGAGCAGCTAATGTTGATAAAAATCGCATTGCTGTACTAACAAGTTCATCATATGATGGTGAAAGATTTAATCGTGTTAATAATGACCAAATAGTTAATGCAAATTGTTGTGCATATGGTTTAAATTCATCACTATAATTATCGGCATAAAGTGCAATGCATCGACAAATTTCTGTTTTAACTTGATCTAATATTCCTGGATCATTACTCTAAATTATAAAAAAGAGTTATTTTATAATGACTCATTTCCTAATAAAACAAAGTTATAAAAACACTTTTTCCCCTAATGCAATTCTTCTTATTAAAACAATCAAGATAATAAAACTGATCCTAAGTAGTTCAGATTCTCAAATACCCTATCAACGACTAAAGATTGCACAAGACTTTCATATGGTCATCTAAATTGCGTTTTACTCTAAATTTGTATGTCTATTCCATCATCAATAACTTCTTCGTCGGAATTCGAAGATTCAGAGTCTATTGCATTTTCTTTTGTATTAGTTTCTTCCAATGAGATGTGAGTCATTCTAAAACTCCGATTGCTTCCGTATATGAAAGGAAAAAAAGACTATAAATATGTTGTCTTATCTTACATATGCTATCTATCATATATCAAAGAACGAGAAACTAATGTGGGAGATCTTCTCCTTATGACTGCCAGAAAATAACTAATGTGTAATGACACAAGAAAGAGAACGATGAATAATCGATAAAAGATATTGAAGACGTCACTAAGAACATTGATTACAAGCTAACTCTTTATAGATGTGCAGGTTTCGAAGAAAACCGAATCCTATCGAACGTTTTAAACAAATGCTTAATAGTTGATAATAGCTTAGAAGTCACCCTTGTATACATATCGATTTCTTACATTTGAATGAAGTGATGGATGATCATAAGATAAAAGTGCCAAAAAATATGTCATGTATATTGTTATATTATCTTCAAAATGTTCTGGTAATTCCTATAAAATATAGAAAAAAGAAAATCTATTTGACAAATATTATTTTTTAAATAAAAATTACTTGAGCATTGAGATCATAAAATATCTTGATGATAACATGTAAAGAATTAAAAATATTTTTCATTTCCACTGGATCAGATTCTTTTTGTGGATAATAATTCATTAAAGACTAAAATTATAAAATACGAATTCGAATAAAAATAAAAAATATTTTATTTTATTTTACTTTAAATAATTCTGTAAAAGCTGGTGCAAATTTTTCCAGAACTAATTTTATTTCAGACCATAATTCATCAGATTTTTGTTCATATCGATATCTTTCAAATAATGAATGTGCTGTTTTTAAAACTCCATTAATTGATTGAAATGAACTTGATGATTGTTGTTGAAATTGTTTTACCATTGTATCAAGTAATGTTGACCATTGATCAGGAAAATCACATTTACCAATAACTGTAATTGCATCTGATAATTGTTCTTGAATATGTTCAGGTGAACGTGTCATTAAGTCAATGATATGTTCTTTAATATGATTTCGATCACGAATTGATATTGAATTTGATTCATCAAGTGATGGCCAATTACGTTTTATAAAATTTTTAAATGTTATTACTGATGCACGACGAATATCATCTGATGTTGTTGAACTTTCACAAAGTGTTAATAATAAAGATGAATAATTTTCATTGCGTTCAATTTGTTTTAAAGTTTTTTCAGCTGAAA